ACATCAATGGAAAGATTATTTATTCAGCTTTCAGATGATGCATACATCTCAATTTTGAAAAATTGACCCTTATGACTGGTTTAGTGCTCCAGGGTCACATATTTAGGCGCTTGAGCAAATATTCCTGAATGTTGGGGTGGCAATTCCTGAATTGCTGGTTTAACTTTGACAAAGTTAAAAGAGGAGTTTCTCAAGTCAGCAAAAGGAGACAAAAGAGGCGGCGGAGAGGAGCACAACCTCCTCTATTCAGCGTTAACCCTTCAGCTCGCCAGCTTTCAGCACACACAATAGCAGAGCGCTGAGCCGCGGATACTGAGGCCCTACAACAACACACGCATCCTGTGAGTGTGGAACCAGTCCTGAGGCACAAGTGTTGTGATGAGTCGACACAACAGCGAAACTCTGGTGCAACTGAGCGCTTGCGTGTTATTTCATGAGTCCCTGCTGAATATGTAGAGTCAGTTTAAGGCCCAGTGTCAGGAAACACTGAGCTTAAAACAACAACAACAACAACAAAAAAGTTTGAATCTTTTTTTTTTTGTAATACATTACCTTTCAAGTTCTAGTGCCGTGACCAGCACAGACACTGAGGCATCTCTCCAGTATTAGATTAGTGATTCAGAAATATGTGTTTTTAAATGGCAGATTTCATAAACTATCATCCATATATGTGACCCTGGACCACGAAACCAGTCATAAGGGTCCATTTTTCGAAATTGAGATGTATGCATCATCTGAAAGCTGCATAAATAATCTTTCCATTGATGTATGGTTTGTTAGGATAGCACAATATTTGAAAATCTGGAATCTGAGGGTGCAAAAAAATCTAAATATTGAGAAAATCATCTTTAAAGTTGTCCAAATGAAGTTCTTAGCAATGCATATTACTAATCAAACATTAAGTTTTGATATATTTACGGTAGGAAACTTACAAAATATCTTCATGGAACATGATCTTTACTTAATATCCTAATGATTTTTGGCATAAAAGAGAAATGTATAATTGTGACCCATACAATGTATTGTTGGCTATTGCTACAAATATCCCCCAGCGACTCAACACTGCTTTTGTGCTGCAGGGACACATATCTTAAATATGCACTTGCTAAGCCAAAGCCTTAAGCGCTACATTATATATTATATATATATATATTATGGTTCACTTAGTTTCTGTGTGTCTTGCAATACATTGCACATAATTGAAGAATTGAAGTTTTCATTTTTGAAAGTGACCTAAGTTACTAGTAAATTAGGTTAGACAGTAAATATCACTAAACCACATCATAGCGATAATTTGGTGTGAGGAAACTCAACGTGTGGTTGTGACTGAATTACTGAGCTTGAGAAAACTTATAAGTCTGAACGTGAATTACTGGTGAAGCCTTTTTTTCTAGAAAACTGTCTTTTTTAAGTGTACATGAAGCACAGTAAAAACTACTAGACTTTTATATGTAATGAATTAAAATGCAGTTAAAATCTGTAAAATGTCAATGAATCACTGCGTAAATGAATTAACATTTAATTTAATTTTAATACTCAAAAAGTATGTCTAATTAATTGAATTTATAAAACTTTAACAAATTAATAATTTATTAACATTTTCATGATTATAGGCCCCTAAAACACTTTAAAAAAAAATATTATTATTATTGGTGGTATAAAAATTGGTGATTAAAAATGTAGTCAAATTAAAATTCTTAAATATTTTACTATTAAAATTAAAATGTGGAAGAGAAAGTGTGATATTCCTTAAAATAAACCTTTAATAATTGTATTATTATTATTATTATTATTACACTGAAAAAATGAATGCTAACACTGAATGTTAACTCAGAAATTGCTAGAAAATGGCAAGGAAATGGCAACTAACACATTAAACAAATTAAACAAATTTTTGAAGACTGAAATAGCGTTTTCTTGTTAAACATGCCTCGATAATATTTTATTTACAACTTTGAAAAGTCAAAGTGTACTTTGAGAAGTACATGCTACTGTACAATTGTAATATTTGTCATCATTTCAAGTTAAACCGAACATTTATTTTGGCGGTTTGCCGTGAAGAGTTTCTGTGTGAATCTGACAATGGTTTTCTCAAATGAAATGATGAAGAGCTAGTGACGTGATGATGATGATGATGAAGTTCATGTGTTCGTATAGTGAGACGCAGACGAGCATCACATGTGCTTTAATATGTGCAGTAGAGCAAGCTGAGACGTGCACAACATGCAGATTACAAGTGCTTTTTTTTTTTGCCAAATTCCATGAAATCCTGCATTATACTGTAAATTCTGTTTTTATTGAGTCTGTCTCAGTTTGTTCTGTTTCTTCATGTGACTCCAGACAGACGGATGATGATCAGATCAGAGCTCTGTGTGCAGCACTAACATATATCTCACTGCATTATTACAATTAATGGCTAAATGAATGTTTGGAAATGTAAACTGATATTTCCTACTGACACACTACTAATAATGTTGGCCACCACTGTATGTCCCTAGTGCATAACAGTGCATGATACAAATCCATGACATTTAAGGAAGCAAATGATACACAAATAAAGCATAAAAAAATCTCCCAGCAAATCAAGATGACTGGAGAAGACACACGAGGCGGTCTGTGGACACTGGTCTCCTGTGTGGCCCCTGAGATCTGTGAGGAGAGTCACGGCCGACCCTTCGGTGGGAAGTCACCGCAGACAAAGCCTGGGATAATCCCAGTGTCCGATTCCATTCCCGTCAGCCGAAGTCACTCAGAAGGACGTCTCGCGCGCTGCTGTTTCTCACACGCCGGGTGAAGAAGCGTCTTTGAGCCCTTGGGCAGGTTTTAGCTCTTTTCCCCCCTGTGTTATCGGATGAGCAGTTATAATAACAGGGCTAATGTGAAGACAGAGTCTCGTCTGCTGTTTGGATAGATGTGATTCTAAGTGCAAGACATCGGCTGGGAAAGACTACAGCTGATTAAACAGACATGTGTTGCTGAAAATAGTCTAGAAAGCAAATGCTTTGCACCGTCATTGCCAGAATAAGAACAAGAAAAATCTAAACGTTTACTTTTTTAGCACCACTAGGTTGTTGTTGGTGTTCTGCATTATCTCTGCACCAAAGATTAATTACTCAGTTATGAGCTTCAACCCACAGTCAAACTAAAATTTATTCAGACACCTTCCTCACATTATATCACAGTTTATTGGCTATAGTTTAGAAAATGGTAATACAATACGACAAGAACTCAGAGTTGAACAAATTCATCTTGATAATGTCAGATAACTTTGACAGAAAGGTATGTAATGAATTCAGCTGTTAAATTTAAGTACACAATTAGATAATAGCAATTTAGCTCAACCAATTACCAAGCAATGCTTCGTTTTGTTCAGTCTGTGGTGTAAAAAAAGCTTGCATTAGCAATTAAAGAAAAACATGGTCAGGTCAAAGTGTCTGAATCATTTTTGGTCTCAAATTTGACTGGTAGTCCAGTGTATGAAGAATTTTTGTGATTAATATGTCACAGCTTACTTTATTTTGCTATCTCAATTACATAAATGAACTATAGTGTCCTGCACGCACTAGTAAACAAATATGAACAATTATATCTGCTGTCTGAATAATTTTTGGTTTGACTGTATGACTCAACATATGGATGGTGTTTTTGTTATTCTTTTTCCTCTTTTGACTCGTGCATTTTCTCATATTTCCCTGTTTTCAGTTCAATCGCTGCATCACGTCTCAGCTGATCAAGTGGTTCAGTAACTTCAGAGAGTTCTTCTACATCCAGATGGAGAAGTTCGCTCGTCAGGCCATCATCGACGGCGTGAATGATGTGAAAGATGTATCCGTCACCAGAGAGTCCGAGCTCTTCCGCGCACTCAACATGCACTACAACAAAGCCAATGACTTCCAGGTACTTACACCTCCACATGAGTCGCCATATAGCAGAGCCAATAGTTCATGTCATATATATAATATAATAATTCATGTTTGCTAGAACTAAGTAGGCAGGCCCAGTCAAAATCTGCATGTACTGCCTTGACTTTCTGTGGAATGGTGTTAGGTGTGTTAAACAGCTGAGAGAATTACAGTCTTGGCGTGAGCAAATTAGCTGAATTAATGGAATATTCTGGTACTAGTAAAGCATTTGTGATATAATGTTGATTATTTCTTTTTAAAAAAAGCAAAAACTGAGGTTACAAGTAACACTGAGTTAAGGTTTTAAAAAAGCACGCATTTATTATTTTAAAATTAATTATTCTGTTAAAACCTGCGCTTAAATCATGAGTCGCCATATAGCAGAGCCAATAGTTCATGTCATATATATATAATATAATAATTCATGTTTGCTAGAACTAAGTAGGCAGGCCCAGTCAAAATCTGCATGTACTGCCTTGACTTTCTGTGGAATGGTGTTAGGTGTGTTAAACAGCTGAGAGAATTACAGTCTTGGCGTGAGCAAATTAGCTGAATTAATGGAATATTCTGGTACTAGTAAAGCATTTGTGATATAATGTTGATTATTTCTTTTTAAAAAAGCAAAAACTGAGGTTACAAGTAACACTGAGTTAAGGTTTTAAAAAAGCATGCATTCATTATTTTAATTTAATTTAATTATTCTGTTAAAACCTGCGCTTAAAGCTGTTCAAATCATCATTTTCATGGTTATTTCAGGGTTTACAGCATAGTCATTTAGTAGTAAAACTGGATATAACTTTACAGAAATGTTAGTAAATTATTTTTTTCACACTAAAACTATATATACTTTGTGCATTTTGTGGCTATACTATTGCCGTTTTCTGTGAATGTGCGAGACTTCTGGTTCATTAGCCGCTGTAGGGAAGTAATGAGGAAAATAACAACGCACTGTAAACGGTAAAACTGTTTGCACAACAAACCAGTGTGTTCATAATTAAGATAATACATTACAATAATATGGCAAGACAAACCAGTTTGCAATATTAAGCAGCAAAACAAGCTGTACAGGTCAATATAGCTGGAAGCGGATGACACCGGAAGCCAGGCCCATACAATTTACAAATGGTTGTTACAGGAAAAATAAGCTGGATATTGATGTTTACATATTTGCCTCTTTTACTTTAATTGTTAGTACCTCACTGTAAATAGATTTTTGCTTTTTTTTTAAAGTATGCATGAGCCTAAATTAATCCAGTGTAGTAATCAACATTAACCATAAATGCTGTCAATTGAGATTAATTCGCACGGGACCTGGTTGCTTAAATGAACATGCAACAGTCAGGAATGCTGATCTGCTGCATGGCATGCTGGTGTGTTGGTGATCCCAACAAGGCTTCTCAACCAGCTTCACATTATGATGAATTTTAGCTGGTAATCTAGCATAAACCAGCACCTGTAGCTGCCTGGCTGTAGATCTCCATTATCCCAGAGCTCTGCTGCATCAAACTGTGGGAAGAGGAAGCTGCAGCATCTGCTAAAACAACTTGAGATTACGACCAGGCCACGCCTGACTGCCGTGTGGATTGCTACTGATGCGAAAGAAGCCAGAAATCCCAAGAGTGACTGGCCGGCCGATGGGAACGAGCGGAGACAGTTGTCTTTACCTCAGCACCAAGACATTCCTTTCCCAGGGCCCGCTTTTGTGTCTGGAGATGCACGAGAAACAAACGTGTCAAAAGTGAGCGGATCTACTCTTGGGGAAATAATGCCAGCGGATAGATCCACTCTCACACCCGAGCCGGGTCCTTCAAAGGGTGTGAAGCGCTGCCTGAATTCCTGCGATGGGAACCAGGTCCTTTCATGCATTTTCCGAGCAGTTAAGTTCGAAGCAACAGGCTGCAAAAAATCAAAGCGTCCATCCACAGCGCTCTCTTAATGATTCTGACACTGTATTTGCTTTATTGCCGCTGTGAACAAAGAAGCGTTGCGCTTTAAAACGAGAGCATTAAAGATGCTGCGTCGAGATCAAGGGCCTGACAGTGTTGACTCGGGCAGTAAGTGTGCGTGATGCTTCACATCGTTGTACTCTATCAGCCGCTGGAGGGAAATGCACGGATTCCAAAACTGACCTGACCTCAACTGAGGCTGAGCTGCTGCTACACGGGACCATTACGACTTGACCGGGCAAACTTGCCATCACACAAGGTGTTGCTCTGTGTCTCTAGTGTGTTCTGGGTGGTTGTTAGGTGGTTGCTAGGACATTCTAGCTGGTTACTAAGGTGTTTTCTAGGCTTGTGTGTTCTAGGTGGTTGTTAGGTGGTTGCTAGGGCATTCTGAGTGGTTACTAAAGTGTTGGTAGGTGGTTTCTAGGCTAGTGTGTTCTGGGGGGTTGTTAGGTGGTTGCTAGGGCATTCTAGGTGGTTACTAAGGTGTTTTCTAGGCTAGTGTGTTCTGGGTGGTTGCTAGGGCATTCTGGGTGGTTACTAAGGTGTTTTCTAGGCTAGTGTGTTCTGGGTGTTAAATAGGAAAATAGAGTGCCAATAATGCAAAAGGACAATATTAAACACTAAATTTTCAGTTAAATGCAGTTCATCATTGAATTCAGTGATGTCATCATCCAGCTCAGCTCAGTTTAAATAATATCTTTGCAATCAAGTCAACGATATCGCTGGAAATGAAGTGTCCCCAACTAAGCAAGCCAGAGGAACCAAAACTCCATCGGTGACAGAATGGTTAGTGTGTTCTGGGTGGTTGTTAGGTGGTTGCTAGGGCATTCTAGGTGGTTACTAAGGTTTTTTTGGGTGGTTTCTAGGTTTGTTGTTGCTAAGGCGTTCTGGTTAATTGCTAAGGCATTGTTATGTGGTTACTAGACTAGTGTGTTCTGGGTGTTTGTTAGGCTGTTGCTATTGTGTTCTAAGTGGTATCTAGGGCATTCTGGGTAGTTGCTAAGGCATTGTTAGGTGGTTTCTAGGCTAGTGTATTATAGGTGGTTGCTAGGGCATTCTGGGTGGTTGCTAGGGCATTCTGAGTGATAGCTAATGCAGAGTTAGGTGGTTTCTAAACTAATGTGTTCTGGGTGGTTGTTAAAGCATTTTAGGTTGTTGCTAGGGGTTTCTGGGTGGTTGCTAGGTGCTTGCATGCTGCTTTGGGGTGGTTGTCAGGGCATTCTGGGTGGTTACTACGGTGTTGTTAGCTGGCTTCAAGACTAGTGTGTTTTGGATGGTTGCTAAGGCATTTTAGGTTGTTGCTAGGATGTTCTGGTTAATTGTTAAGGCATTGTTATGTGTTTTTGGGCTAGAGTGTTCTGGGTGGTTGATAGCAGAGGTGGGACCAAGTCATTGTTTTGCAAGTCACAAGTAAGTCTCAAGTCTTTGCATTCAAGACTCCAGTCAAGTCCTGAGTCAAGACGGGCAAGTCCAAGTCGAGTTGCAAGTCCTCAACTTTAATAACTTGCTAATAAGTAAAACAGATGCTCATTTATCGCCACTACTGACTTAGGCCTACAAAAATAGACAGCTTTATTGACATGATTGTCGGGCATTTATAGTATTTACAAAACATTTATAATACTTTAAGTCTTAAACAAAACATTGATACAGAACATTAATTACTGGGCAAAGAGATACATGAAATGACTTGGAAAAGTAAATATGTAACAATAGTTATAATATATAGAAATGTTAAATAAAAATAAGAAACCATCAGTGAATGGGTTTAAAAGACGGATTGGATGATGCATTTTCTTATATAGGCTATTCCTTCAACAAATATTGTTAATAACAAATTATTTTAATTCCATGCTGTCTTGGAGACAAGTGCAATAATAGTTATAATCATGAAGTTTCACTGTCTTTATCATATTCTTCTTTCAAAATAAAATGTTAATATTTAAATAATCCTAGGGGTTGAGTTAATATCTCGAGGTTAAATGTCTCTTGGCCACAATAAACCGAACGTGTCCGACACCACCCCGCTCACTATAGCAGGTTTAATTATGTTACTAATGTTACTAACAGGTTATTAGTTATGGCTGTATGTAGTGCTTCAGTCATTGATGTGTGCTGTAAATGTCCGTCAGGTTCCAGACAGGTTCCTGGAGGTCGCTGAAGTCACGCTTCAGGAGTTCTTTAGTGCCATTTCCCTCTCCAAAGACTCGGACCCCTCCTGGAAGAAAGCCATCTACAAAGTCATCTGCAAACTGGACAGCGTCGTTCCCGAGGATTTCAAATCACCTTCCTACGTGTAAACAGAGAGCGCCACCTACAGGACGCTTCATGTGTGGACACATGCCGTTTATTTATCATAAGCATCAATCATAAATGTTCCTTTTTATAAGTGAATTGTCAGCTTTAGACGAAAAATTGAAAAGTATTTTGCTGTTGACTGAAATGCAAGGTTTGTTTCATGTTGTCTTTGGAATAGGCTTGTTTATTAATAGTTTGGATTTGGGGTTTTAATGTAATATATTTTGATTTCATAATGCCACTGTAGACGAATGTGTGCTGTGTTTTTTGTTCAGATGTGTTATGAAAAGCAGTTATGATTTGTGTTTTAATGTGGATTTGTCTGTTGAGTTTCCAATGTGGGGTGTCTCATGAAACATCTGTAATAATGATTTTAAAAAGGTGTAAATAAGTATAATTTAGCTGTATAATAAGTGAAATATTGACGTTTACAGATAAAAACATTATATTGCATGTTGAAGCAGTTCTCTCAAATTTGGACAATATACTTATTTATCATGCACATTAGTTTGCATACTATTGTTTATCATTATATCTAGCAGTGTGTGGTTTTCCATTTAATAATAAAATATTCATATTGTAGCAGTTTTATATTGTATGTTTTTATGGTTCAGATATATTTACTTTCTTTAAACATAAAAAAATAATTTACCAAAAAATTTATGAAATACAATTCTGTCACTATTTCCTCAGTCTTATCACGATCCAAATCTGTATGCCGTTTTTCCGTGCAAGAATTGTACAAATGTAACAATAAGAAATGCAAAAAGATTCAGATTTAAAAATGGCGCAACATTTACAGTACATGCACCCTAATAATCTGTTAATAATGGAATTGACCACTGAAAAATCTTCATGTAAAATGCCTCTAATGATCCAGTTGAGCTTGATCCGAACCAAATTTCAATCAGACTGAAATGGGGGGTGTAGGTATTAAAAAGGAAAATATTAGTCATATAAACCTTTGAATCTGACGGCTTCATTAATCATTTTCACACCAAAACTGTGCACATACGCAGTGTATAAATACAAAGCCTTTTCTGATATTCCGATGTGAATTTTCTGATATTTTAGTTGTCAAGAAGACAGAATTGCAGCTACTTTCTCTCTCAATAGATGTAATGCACATGTAAACAATTTGAATTGGGCTGCAAAGTTTAGGGCAGATCTGAACAGTGCTTTCAGAATCTGCGATCGGATTGCATTCATTCCACCCATTGCAGTGAGTGTGTTTTAGAGCTGGACAGTCGTGGTCACTCTGGCTGAATGAGAAAGAGCTGCGTGAAGATTCTGTGCTTTACACATCAAACAGCAGCATGCGTGTTTGGCACAATGACACCGTTTCCATTCTCGGATGAACTAGGCCTCATTTACCCTTGTTTTCCTGGTCTGCTAACTGGACTCCCCCCATGTAAGTGCGCAAAGCTCCATTGAAAACATCTTTCCCCGATTCCAGGCCACTAAGGTGGAACTAATCCACGATATAAAGGCAGCGCAGGAAAGTATGCCGCTCACATTGTTTCCTTTGGCCAATTCAAGGCACATTTCTAAGGCCGCATTCATCGTGAGGGACACGCGAGCTCTCGCACCGGCCGTGTCTTAAAAACAACAACAATGCATTCTCTCCTCATGAGTAATGTGCACCATGACCTCATAGCAGAGATCTGCAACCGCTGCAGAATTCCAGCCGCGCAGCTGCTCCTCCTCAGTCGACTCATCACTGCTGCCTGATGCATCCGTCTGCGTCTGCGTCTCGCTGGTTCTGGTGCAATAAACTGCCTTCACTATCTGTTATGTAGATTTGAGGTGTTCTAGTAATAAACTTACAAAATGTAAAATGCAAATGCATTTCTGTATTTAAATTTACACTTTCCCATACATATGTGACACTGGACCACAAAACCAGTCATAAGGGTCTTATGATTTATAATTGAACAAATAAGCTTTCCATTGATGTATGGTTTGTTAGGATCGGACAATATTTGGTTGAGATACAACTATTTGAAAATCTGGTATCTGAGGGTGCAAAAAAATCTAAATATTGAGAAAATCATCTTTAAAGTTGTTCAAATGAAGTTCTTAGCAATGCATATTACTAATCAAACATTAAGTTTTGATATATTTACGGTAGGAAATGTACTAAATATCTTCATGGAACATGATCTTTACTTAATATCCTAATGATTTTTGGCATAAAAGAGAAATGTATAATTGTGACCCATACAATGTATTGTTGGCTATTGCTACAAATATCCCCCAGCGACTCAACACTGCTTTTGTGCTCCAGGGACACATATGTGCAACGTTTAGCGCAAAATGAAAATGAAATTGAAAAAGATACACTTGCCATTTCCTATACTAGTTTTAATATGTAAATTTAAAACATATTTTAATGCTTTATAAGTTGCAAAATTTAAATGAAAAGGTATTACCCAAACTGATTAGATATGTTTAACACGTCCAAGCAAAATCATAATTTAAATGCTGTTTTTCCTAAATGCATTTAGACTTACGGGTAGGACACTTGGGATTGCATTGTCATCATAGTACCGCGTGATAATTGTAGCAAAACGCTGTGAGAATTTCAGAATGCATTCTGAGCTAAACGTTGCACATATAGTATGTATGGGAACATGTAAATTTAAATACAGAAATACATTGCCATTTTGCATACTACATTTCAAAATGAATTTTGCTACCTATTTGCTTCCATATTAAACATCTATTAATCGTCCTGAAAATGCTAGTACACTGGGGCTGCTTCTTTTCTGTTCTGTTTGCTCATTTTAGACCTCAGGATCCATTTTCCAGCATGCATTGGTGCCACTTTACTGCTGTTAATTGTATGTGCTGTTAACCGTGTTATTACGGGTCCAAGAACCAGAAGTGCTGGAACTCTATTGGATTAGTCTGTTATTTTGCCAATCACTCTTTTTCTGCCTGGACGCTACAGAGACCGTAAGTCGTAGAGATCTCAAAATTGGTGGAATGCTTCCAAATCCTAAAAACTACTCAGGCAACCTCACACACATCTGTCAGACACTAGGTGGCGCTATATTACATACGTTTGCATTTTAGTTCAGAACTCTGGAACCATAAGGGCTAGAATCACAATTATTTTTCCTCTGAACCCTACAAGAATACAAGAGTTTACCACTGGAATATTTTTAATCCATTTTAATAAAAATAAAAAAAAAATAAAAACTTTTTCGACCTCCATATGGGCTGTTGGTTCAATTGGCATGAAACTTGGCACACATGGTCCCAAGACCCTCATGACAACAAACTTATCCAAGGAATTTTTATTTAGCAAAGTGTTGTGAAAATACAAGCCAGTGAATCAGTTTGGCCAATATCTGCTCAATGCAACATCAAAAACAGATCATTCTAAGGATGCATGCCAAGCTGCGTCAAAATACAACAACAAAAAAATCAGTCATAATTGCAACAGTTTAATCAAGGAAAATTTAATTTGATGTGTATGTTTTTCAGAATGAGTGCAAACCAAGCCATGAAAAAAAATCAGTCATACAATTCCAGAAAAAAGGCCATCAAAATTTCAGCAGCTGATAAATTGAATTGTGAATGCCTGTTATGAAATTTAGCATATATGTACATGTGGCTGTGTACTATATTTGGTGACAATCAATCAACAAGACGATGCTTTAATAAGCTAATTTAAATACACATGTCCGTATGTGTGTCCATTTGTGTACGAAAATGTTTTCAGCAGTTTGACTTTTTATGCTTTTTCGAACTCAATCTAGGCCATTTCACACAACATTCAGCATGTACCATTTTGAGACACTCCTGAAAAAATCATCAGAATAATTCATATTAATTTAATTGTTTAATAGACACAAACTGGTGTGTTTTGGGTTGTAGCCAATATTGACTACATTTTCCATAAACACATTGTCTAAACTACACAAAACGTGGTAGAAATGGAGAATACAGAAAAAAATACAGAAAAAATACAGAAGTTGACTTCCAAAAACAAACCCACCTCGAGAAATATTCACTGGAGTCAAATCAGTGTGACAACTAGCCCCGGTCTATATGAAATGTATGTGCACATTCAGAAGAACCCAATATGCTGATGTTTTATTCATATCAGCAGTGGAACACATTATACTGTAAGCCCTGCGAAGCACTCAAGCAGCAATTACTTCTGAAATTATACAATTAAAGAAATTAAAGCATTAGTTTAATTGGTTTGCGAGGAAGAGTACAAAACACAAACGGTGGTAATTATTTAAGCAGTGTTCTCTTCCAATTAGATCAATACACAATAATTGATTTGTGTTTCCAATTAAAACGCACACAGTTGTGTCGAGGTGTCTCTCACATTCATTTGCTGTGAGTTTTTTGTGAACTGCAAGACGTCTGTCTGATGACTGTAATGATGAGTTCAGCAGACACTCTCGTTCTCATCAACAACAAAAGGAAGATCTGCCAAGCTAATAACTGAGCACAGTACAATTATGGATTTATAGACATCAATTATTTATTTCATGTGCACGTAAAGAACAACATGAGTTGCATCAGGTCTGGTTCTGAGTTAATAATTATCTTTAATCTTGTAAATAGATACATCGTAATATTTGAAGGTTTGTTTAGTCTGTGTTCCTATAAAACACAGGTTTCACCATGTATGCATTTGATTTGCAGTGTTACTAGTCATCTGCTATCAAAATCAGTCCATTCACGATGATGTATATGAAAATTGATTCCTGTTTATGGAAAAGAAGCTTGTAATACATTCAGTTCCAATGTATTTATTTGTGTTCTTTTTGTTGCATTATTCTTTTTTCCTTTGTATTTGCAGGTTGTGTACTTAAATGCAGCGAATAACAACCGCCCAGTTCAGGAGCAAAAAAAAAAAAAAAAAGGGTTTTATATATATATATATTTAATATACATAAAAAAGAGGCCAAAAATATATATATGGTAACATACATTTATGTAAATATACTTTCTATGAATACAATTTTTTGGATATTTTTGAAAATATATTTGCACGTTCAAAATATATTTTGAAAAATACACACACACACACACAAAAAATGCCAAAAAATATATTTTCTAAAATATGTTAAAAAATATATTTATGTAAATATATATATTTTGTCCATTTTTAAAAACTTAATTTGTTGTCTAAAACACGTGTGAACATGTAACACTTTTGAAAAAAAAAAAAAAACGTCAGCAAGGAACAATTTAAAACACTCCAAAAAATTCAATATTGCAATGTACGAAAATATTAACAATTATTAAATCACTATAAATCTACCTTTGGCCATTTAAAATAAAGATCCATCTTTGATCTACAGTTG